AAAAACAATTGAAGCGTGATCTAAAAGGTATTCGAATGCAAAGAGTACATTAAAAAGATAAACAAAAACAATTCGTAAGCTTATTTTCCCATTTCAAGTAAGATGAATAAATCATTCGAAATATTCATCTTGACGAAGGCTCGTCGCTTAAATGCGAATTAAACTTGCGAATCGTATATCGTAGGGTACCCAATCGTAGAGATTGAAAAAAATTATCTTCAATTTTTCTCGGAGGTATAAGTACCTCTCGCAGCTCTAAGGATAACGATACGACGACTCGACGACACGTCAAGCGACCCGAGTCGTTACGTTCTGCCTACTCGAATTTCGCCGCGCGAATGATAACAAGGTCGCGCGAACGTTTAAGCAACGGTAGCACATAAAAAAATGCGAGGCCGTAAGGTATGGCAAGCCGTTTTACTTTTGAACAGCATAAAAGAAATTAGTCTAAGGTTAAATTCTTAAAAAATAATTGTTTTAAAAAAATTACGATTTTTAACAATGAATTAAAATTATGTCGCAACATAAAATAATATTTTCATGAATTAAGAAATCATAATTCATGAAGAATTCATAATTCAGAAATTGAAAATGTTTATTTATGTCGCGACATAATAATAATTCGGAATTTCTATTATGCCTTGACATAATTTTAATTCATTATTAAAAATCGTTTAAAAATTTTTTTTAAGACAATTTTTCGAGAATTTAACATTAGACTAATTTCTTTTATGCTAATAAAAAGTAAAACGGCTTGCCATAGTAAGACGTAATCAGTAAGGAAATCGTAACATTGGATTCGCTACTGGCATTATCGTCTCTGCTGTGATTGGCCAATTTGCTTATTGCTTACGTGTTACGGTCTTATGTTCTTGTATGTGCCATGGGCTTTTTACTACAACAAGCTGCGTCACCGAGTTCCGCTTAACAGTGACGTCGCTATTTATTTCACGCACTTTACAACGAACGCGCATCAAATAATTACCGCGTATACTGTCGCATGTTTCACTTTTTGTTTTATGCATATTACATTATTAATACCATCGTCCAATACAACGACTCGTTCTGTTCGATTCATAATGCGTCGTCTATAATATGCGGAGTAAGCTTGGTATAAGAAGTAAAGTCCAGTTCTACAACTTGTGTAAGTGTCATAGTTGTAAGTGATTGTAGTTGTAAGAATTAATTAATCACAATTGAATAATTCTCCTGTATCTCGAAAATGCAGCAGTCGTTCTAATTTCAAGTCCAAGAAAAAACTGGCTTTGACTTACAGTGAGTGGAAAAAGTATTCGTACAGAGAAAAATATTTTTTTAAAAAACATTATTTTTAAAAAGTAAATATTATTCAGCGAGAAATGAGTCATCCAATTGATGTCGAATCGATATCATTAATTGACGTTCATTTCTTGATAGGTAATTAACAATTTATTCATAAAGAATAAAATAGACTGTATGTTTCTTAAAATTATATATACTAAAAAGATGTGTACTAATTATAGAAAATATATCATCTGAAAAATAAACGAAAATTAACAATTCTATTGTTTGTTATTGACGTTCGAAAAGTATTCGTACAATCGAGAAATTTAGCTTCTAGAATCAGAAATACATGCGAAGCTCGTTTGTTTATGTTAGAACAGAATATGAAAATGTTTATTGTATAAAATTGCTAATTATAATATTTATTTTTTACAAATAAGACTTTTTTATAAAAAATTGCCTTGTACGAATACTTTTTGCTCTCACTGTATGTATAATACAATGTATGCAAATATCGTTCAACAGATTGAGTCAATCGCGTTCAGACACGCAGACAAGCAAGACTGTCGTGTGATAAAAAGCGATATAGTGTTAGATGAAACGAGAAATCGTTCTCGGGAGAAAATTATTCAAATTGCCGATGAACTCTGAGACTCCGGCGCAGAGCACTCTACTCTCCGTGTATTGTAACAAGTACGTAGAAACGAAGAGAAGTGCTACCTATGCACGAGAAGTCGAATAACTAGCGTAGAATATCGTGGGATCGTCTTCGTGCGACGAAGATTTCTCCACGATGTTTATAATTAAGCGGTGCGACCACTTAGCAGCGAGAGAGAAAATAGGTTTAACGTCGCGGTGTATTTGGGTCGTATAAATGCGAGAGGAAAAGAGAGATCTACATACGTGACGGTTTTATCCCGTCGCGTGCAAAATACATTTCATTTCTCTCTTAGGCATGCATTCTCCTTGAATATACGCTGGTCCTGGAATAACGGTCATCGATGGAACCGGAAATAGGGGACTATATCGCTGCGGCGCGCTATCGTGGAAAGATCGCTGATTACAGTGATTAATCCTTAA